TATCTGAGGTCCTGGACAAGCACTGTCCAATGACAACCGTCAAACTACGTGGCAAATACAAACCTGCCCCTTGGGTAGATGACGAGCTCCGGAAATTGTTGTTCAGGAGGAAGCGTTCGCACAGGAAAATGAGAAAGAACCCAGCTGACCCGCAACTAGTCCAGAACTTCCGGACACTGCGGCGGCAATGCAAACTTCTCACGCGTCGCAAGCAAGCCACATTCTTTCAGAACGAATTTATTTACAATAGGAAGAACCCCAGAGGCCAATGGAATGTTCTAAACACTCTGCTTGGTCGAATCAAGATCCACCGTGAACCAGGTGCAGAGGTCAAAGCCATCACAGCTACATTCTCCGAAATAGTATCACCGGGTTCGCCAACTACACCAACCGCTACAACGCACCCTACACTGCCACTAGGTCCGATACCTGAACACAACTTTTGCACTTTCGACCGCATCCCGACAAGCCTCGTAGAATTCTACCTAAAGCGGTTGGACTGCCGTAAAGCGTGCGGCCCCGACAACGTACCCGCAGCAATCTACAAGTCTGCAGCTGACGGGATTGCCCCTGTTCTCGCTCCGCTATTTTCAGACTCACTACAATCTGGAACTTTCCCAACTCCGTACAAACAGGCTAACGTTCGGCCAATACATAAGCGAGGTGATCACAGCGATCCTACTAATTACAGGCCAATATCGCTCCTTCCGCAAATGTCAAAGCTGTTAGAACGCTGCGCCCTTGACCAGCTAATGGAATTCGTGCGTGACGCTCCACAAGCAAACCAAGCACTGCCGCCTGAACAGTTCGCCTACAGAAGACAACACTCCTGCGATGACTTGCTAGCCTTGGTGGCGAATGACTGGCAGCAAAGTCTGGATGCCGGTAAATTTGTGGTGGCAGCGTTTCTTGATATGTCGAAAGCATTTGACACGGTCAATCACAACATGCTCCTGCAGGAGCTTTTTGAGATCGGCGTCGGAGATAGCGCCCTGCAATGGTTTGCGAGCTACCTACGAGGCAGACGGCAGCGAGTGGTAACACGTACGTCCAGAGGTGAACTGTACGAAGCTCACAGGGGAGTTCCTCAGGGATCCACCCTCGGACCTGTGCTCTTTAACCTATCTGTACGCAAATTGCCCTCGGCAGCATCTTCCAGCATGGTGCGCCAGTACGCTGACGATGTCGCCCTGTACCTAGCAGGCCGCAACCTACAACAAACTACCGAAGAACTGGCCCGAGATGTGTGTCGTATCAGGGACTTCCTCAGTGAACGAGGACTAATCCTGAATGCCAGCAAGACCCAGTTCATTGTGTTCCACTCCAGATCGAAAAAAGTATGCTCCTCCCTCCGACTAACCATTGACAATGTCTCAATTCCACCAGCGACCACCGTCAAGTACCTTGGTATGACCTTTGACCAGCACCTGACATTCGCTGACCACATCAGTGCCCTTGAGCGAAAGGTAGGCGACAAGCTAGCTGTGTTTCGTAGAATCCGTGACCGTCTAACAATTGATGCAAAGAGAACCTTCTACTGCGCGTTCATACAGGCTCAATTGGAGTACGGTTCCAATGCTTTTTATCACAGTCTGCAGGCTGGGCAACAAGATCGCTTGACTTGCCTCAGCAACCGTGCAGTTAGAACTGTTTTTGGTTATCCAAGGTTCTGTGACATTTCTACTATTCTAGCCAGATACCACCTAGCTTCTATCTCCTTACGTTTGAGATTCAAATTGTTCGTACTTATTTACAGATCATTACATAAGGTGTGCAGCCCGCTCTTAACAGACTGTTTTGTGACTAGAGTCAATGCCACACACACAGCGTCAATCACCCGCTCGCAGGTTACTCTGTCTCTTGCTCTTCCCCCGGCTAATAATCGCTATGGCTTGTACGCATTAAGCTTCTTAGGTGCAGATCGCTGGAATTCGCTCCCTGCTTCTGTTCGTATTTCCTCCACGCTATCAGACTTCCGCTCATCTATACAAAAACATATAGGGTACCCCGTAAGAAGGCCTTAGGCCTGTGGGAATGCCCTATTAAAAATTTAATAAATAATAATAATAATAATTTCCAAGTACGAATCGGGAGTAGTCGGCGCACGACGCCGTCTCCTGTTCACATTCAAAATGCAGCTGTTTTGTACGCTTGCGTCCCCATGTACACCCGTCTATGGTATGAAAAGTTGGATCGATCCAACTCTTCCCGTCGCTTCCCGATCAGTACGACCAAGAGTAGATAAACAAGAGTGTGCAACTCGCGGATTGGTTGGCCCACGGCGGAATTTTTTGTTGACGTAATCTTTTCGACGACGCACGCGCTGCGAGCCTTTTGGAGAGGTTTCCCTCGTGCACTTGGCCGGGCTTTACACTACAAGGTGTGTGCCCAGCACGTGCTCTCACACTGCTCTGCGGCAAAGTCCGCGTTTCTCTGAAAAAAGGTGACGTCAACAAAAAATTACGCCGTGGACGGGGGTATCTGCAGATTGTGCAGGAGAGATCCGGAGTTGCACACTCTTGTTTATCTACTCTTGGTACGACAGTACGGTTGCGTTCCCGTTCCTGGCCTGGTGTTCACATTGCCTCGACCAAATATGCTTGCGCATAATTCCGCATATTTTGTGAGACAGTTCATATATGGCATATTGAGCGACAAAGGGAATATTGGAATGAAGCCAGCATATAATTCAAATATTCTGAAGAAAATGAGGACAAAACATTCATATTACGGACAAAATGCGTTCAGAAATGCCTTTTATGGATGAATTTGGAATGGTTGAGGCGTTTGCTACATTTACCCATAGATGAACACTATCGCTACGGACATTTCCATACTTACTTAGGGATTTCCATACTTACTTAGGAGACTCCCTTCGATAGGCATCTATTTGCCTGTGGAGGATCCGTGAAATAAAAATCAATCAATCAATCAATCAATAAAAAATAAAAAAAACACCTCAGCCATACTATTCCGCGTGTGTTTTGATTTGTACCATAAATATGATAGCCGTAAAGCCAATGAATATTCCAAGGTTGTAATTTTACTGAAATGATCTACACTTTCTGCTTATGTCGAGCATATTTTGGCATATGTTGGCATATCTTTTTGCATATCTTGCTAAGCCTTTGGCATATTATGGACGTTTTCCCTGATATGCGACGAGCATAATATGCTCTTTTTTTTAGAATTTTTCGTCGAGGCCTACCTTGGACACCGTCAGACTGTCCCGTCGCTTCCCGTGGATCCTTACGTCGCGTCCCCTCGCGCCCTGTCGAATGTGAACTAGGCTTTAAAGGGGAAGTGCATCGATTTTTCAAGTAGGGCTCAGATGAAAGACAATTTCATATCGGTTCCGATGGTATATCTCTTGCCTCCGTACGATATTGCAAACTTGCCATATGGCCGATTTTCTGATTGCGATTCCATGGCGACTACAGGTGATGACGCACATTCTGCTTAGCTCCGTGAGAGAGAAGGTCGATCACTGCAGAATTGTGTCATTTTCAGTTGTCTTATTGTATTCACGAAGTGAAAAAAGTGCTGTGTTCAATGCTGCCATGGGCTAATATACGAAAAAATGCATTTTCCGGGGAAACAAATCAGTAATAATGGTTCGTTTTTTAGCCCTGGGCCTATATTCGAATTTTGAAGGCAGCTGGCACGCGAAAAGTACAAGTCCGTGCGCGGTTGTCCGCCTACTGTAGGTACCGGTACTGGTAATGTAGTCTGCACTGACATGCTGTATTACGGTGTTTGGGTCTGTTTATTAGCCCATGGGCCTATAAACGGAGGTGGGCCTATATCCGGATATAGGCCCATGGGCTTATATGCGCGGAACTCCGGTAAGCAGAATGTGCGTCATCACCTGTAGTCGCCATGGAAACGCAATCAGAAAATCGGCGATATGGCAAGTTTGCAATATCGTACGGAGCCTAGTAACGGAGGCGAGAGATATACCGTCGGAACCGATATGAAATTGTCTTTCATCTGAGCCCTACTTGAAAAATCGATGCACTCGTGTCGTCAGGTTGAGCATCTATCCGTTTTTGTTTCGCTCTGTAAAGAGCACTTAGGGTTCCCTGTAACAAGACGGCAACGTCTGTAGGGCCTTCCCTATCAAAATAATAAATTCTACTACTACTACTACTACTACTACTACTACTTCCCTTTAAGCCAAAGAGAGAAGTTACAGGCGCGCTTGCACGTACAGAACTATAATAGACCACGTGACAATGGCATAAGGAACACCCATGTAAACACTAGACATAGTTAGCATTTTACCGTTCACGCTATTTTCGACGGTCGGCGGTCGGCGTGTAGAGGGCGAGTCTACTGTTTTTGATGTGTTTTCTAGACACGGTTAGCAGTTCGGCTTCTGAGTCCTGACTCCTGACGCAACGCTAACGATAGACGTGTGAGGTAACCATGGTAACCCTAGTTGGAATCTTACCGTTTCGTTCTCCCGCTAAAAGAGCTTTCTGTCGTCGAAACGGTACCAAACCAACGGTATTTTGGGTGTTGGATACGAGTGCTGTTGGATCTAGCGCGTGAACTGATTTTTGAACATGTCAAAGACAGTTTTAAAGAGTTTTGTCGGTCGCATTACTTCTCCCACCCATGCTGGTCATGGTGGGAGACAGTCTCCAGACTTGTTACAAAGTACATGTATACGTAGCACTGACTCCACACCTAGGCTAGGGCAAAGGCCACAAAAAGGAAGCCCAAGAGCCCGAGCGAGAGCCTGTGCCCGAGCACTGAAAGTGATGACCGGCCCGTGTCAGGGACACGTAAAGCAGCCTGCAAGCCAGGCAGAGATGCTGCTAGCCAAGACCCAGGACCTAGTGACCACTGTACGTGCGCGTGCGAATCCCAGCACTGCAGCACTGCACATATCTACCCTACTACAGTCAGTGCTGGGAGACCTCAAACAAGAATTGAAACATGTCGTGAAACGCGAAATGCAAACACTCGCGGACAGTCTCCTCGCGCCTATTGCGTCACGCATCAGTGATCTCGAGGACCACGCCCAGCACCAGCGCGAAGACATCAGCCGCATCAGCGCGGAAAACAAGAAGCTACGCAAGACACATCAGCCGCATCAGCAGATGGAGCAGATTGCCGCAAAAACGGACGCGACTGTAATTAATATTCGGTGACATGGAGAGGAAGCTTGGCGCCATCATGTCTGCTGGAGCCGACCGTGCGTCCAAATCGGGACCCCGTGGGACTGGTTTGGGTTCATGCAGCACTGCGCCCATATGCCATAAATGGCAATGACATCCGTGACATGGTCGACGACAGTGAGCTGTTGTCGTCCCGAATTGTATTGCAAGGCCCGCCGACAGGCATGACCACTCGAGGTCGCAACCTTCCTCTAGGCCCTCCCCCTGGCCCACAGTGCTTCTGGCGCATGCCGACCGCTTCTAGCCAGCTGCCTACTCTGGAATGGCCTACCCGACTGTATGAAGTCCATAGTATCTGTCCGTGAATTCAAACGCATGCCACGCGTATTTTACTTCGGTTAAATTATTCTTTATTTCCACGATGGCCCATGGCCAATAAGGAAGATAATATGATTCAAATCAAAATCAGTATAGCAAGTAAGGAAACCAACACATTGCAGGGGATGGGGTCACGATGGGGTACAGTGTGAGCTACTACAGGAGCATATGGATGATAGAATGAGGCTAGACGCCATTGATTTAAACGCATGCTTGCTATTTGTTTCACGCAGGTCGGGGGGGGGGGGGGTAGTTGGTTGAAATTGTGAAGGGACAGGTTGATGGGTGAGTTGGTGTGTCGGTATGTGTGTGATGTTCTCAATGTGTATGTTCTCATGTGTCGTAGTGCATATGGCTGCTCTGTGATTGGTCGTGCAAGGTGAGGCTGTTGCAGGTGAAGGGGAGCGCGGATGTACTTGATGTTGTGGGCAAGAGTAACCTGTCGTAAGAGTTGCCGGGAGACTAATGTGGGGAGTTGGAGATGATGAAGAAGTGAGCTGTGATGGACTGGTGCAAAAAGGGGGATCCGCAGGCAGATACGGGCTGCTCTAAATGTAATGGCTTTCGTAACCTGCTGATGAGGCTCGATAGAATCATGCTACGATGACCCGACTTGTAAATTTGAGATCCATTTTTTTCTGCTCGTCTTGACCCTGCCTCCCCTCATTGCTACTTCCATTTTCGTATTTTTATTTTCATTTATTTTTCTCTTCATTTCTGACTCTTCTTACTGGTTGTCATCGCTTCCATAATATTGGGCAGAACTGCCCGTTGCCTTGCGATGTAAAATAAATAAACAACAACAACAACAACAACAACAACGACATCGCGGATCAGAGCACCCGCGACAACAGTGTGATACTTCGCGGCCTAAAGGAAGACTCGCGCGAAGACCTGGCCGCACTCCTTGCAGCACTTGTTCCCGACTTCAAACGGGACGACATTATCCAAGTTTCCCGACTCCAAAGGAGAAAGCAGCGTGTGGCAGATTCCTCTGATTCCGCCAGTGCTAGAGCTAGCACTCAGCCACCAGGCCCACCACGCCCTGTACGAGCTGTCCTCACGGCAAGTGGGAAATCGCACCTGATGCGCAACAAAACGTGCGCAAAGATCACCGGGCAGCTGGTCTACGTTAATCACGATCTGACGCGCCAGCAGCAACAGAGGAGACGCCCGCTGGTGGCGAAGTTCAAGGCCCTGAGAGCTAAGGGACCCCCCCCCCTGCCTAAGGATGTCATCGTCATGAATGGCAAGCCTTTGACTGACGCAGACATCGAGGATATGCTCAATCAATAGGAATCAGCCCGGGCAGTCCCTCCATCACACGCAATAAGAAACACCGCAGTGATACAACCACCCACTGACACCAACGACAGAAAGCTAAGTATCACCAGTGCATGCATTTCTAAAAAAGATTCTCCTTAGTTAATTGCCCACATAAATATCTGTGGTCTCCTAAATAAACTGCATGAAGTTCAATACATTCTATTCAAACATAAAATTGACGTCCTTGCAATTTCGGAGACATGGCTGAAAGCAGCAATCCCTGACGGCTCAATCAAACTGGGCTGGCTACGAAGTACACAGAAGAGACCGCAAGCTAAAGACAGGAGGTGGTGTATGTATCTACATCAATGACAAAATTAAGCACAAACAATAAATATTACATATCCTCCAAGATATCGAAGCCGTTTCCATCCAGTTAGTATTGCCGCACAATCCCCTGAACATAGAATGCACGTACAGATCCCCTTCATCCCCCGTCACATATTGGGAGGAGTTGCTCAACACCGTTGATGACATCGAATCACACACGAGAGAAGCTCATACCATTGTGCTAGGCGACCTCAACGTCAACATCGCAGACCACCAACACCAGGCAGCAGTACAGGCACTTCCTAAGCTTCTGCCACGCTACCAACTTACAGAACATAGTTACGTCCCCAACCAGATTTCCGAGCCAAAAGGTGCTAGACTTAATCTTACTACCCCGTACAATTTATCCACCAGCACGCGTCTCCTATTCCTCACGGAGACAGAGCATTATCTACCACGGCTGTTCCGTTAAGCCATGCGACGCTTCCGATCACCAGCTACTAGTTTTAGAGCTGTTGGCTACATTGCACTCTGCGCCGCAGAATTTACCGGTCAGAACCAGGAAGCCTCCAATAAGAACCATAAACGCACAGGCATTCCAGACAGAGATCACTTCGAAGATGTCAATCGTTGAGAACCAACCAACTGACCTCAATGCAAACATTGAACTTTTTAAGGGCTCCATCACCGAAGCACTTGATCATCATTGCCCCGTGAGGATAGTTACCTTTTCCACCAAGTATAAACCCGCACCACGGGTCGACGACGAGCTACGTAAACTGCTCTACCGCAGAAAACGAGCTCATACTGTCATAGACTCCTGCTGAAACAGCCGGGTGACCAGCAACGAATCCAGTCGTTCCGAGCGCTTCGGCGACAGTGCAAAATCACCATGCGCCGTAAGAAGCCGATTACTTTCAGGCCGAGTTTATTAACAACAGACGGAACCCTAGACGTCAGTGGAGCGCTATGAACAGCCTACTTGGCAGAACGAAAATCAGCCGTGAGCCTGGAGCTAGTGTTGCAGACATTACATCTGTATTCTCAGAAATAGTTGGGCCTTTGCCGCCAACAACGACTTCTGATGCCCTGATGCTGGCACCCGTGCCTGATTACCCACCTAACATTCTGCTTGCTCTGCCGTGTGGCCCCCAGTCAGACGGCACTCTAGTCTCTTTTACCCGAATCACAGCGGGGGATGTTAAGTTCCATCTCCGTGCTATGGACAGTCGCAAAGCAAGCGGTCCTGACGCCATCCCCCCGCTCGTCTACAAACTTGTGTCTGACCAAATTGCACCAACGCTAGCCTCTCTCTTGTCGATATCCCTTGAAACTGGTGAATTCCCAACGCCCTACAAGCTAGCACACGTCCGTCCGATCCACAAACGTGGGGACGTTTCCGACCCTCGCAACTACAGACACATCTCCCTCCTTCCTCTCATGTCCAAACCTCTCGAGAGGTGTGCGCTAGAGCAACTTACGCAATACATGGATAGCGCCAGTCACATGGAATCCCTCCCTGCAGTTCAGTTTGCGTACCGCCAAAACCACTCCTGCGACGATCTTCTCGCTCTGGTGGCATGTGATTGGAGTCAAAGTCTAGACCAGAACGAGTATGTGGCTGCGGCTTTCCTCGACATGTCCAAAGCCTTCGACACTGTCAACCACAGTTTGCTCCTCCAAGAACTGTTCGAGATTAATGTGGGAGGGGTTGCACTGCGTTGGTTTGCATCATACCTTACTGACCCGGCGCCAGCAGAGAGTTGTCACCAAGTCTAGCAGAGGTGCCTGTTATTCTGCCTCCAGAGGTGTACCTCAAGGATCTATCCTTGGACCCGTCTTGTTCAATCTTGCTGTCCGCAAACCGCCACACTGTGTTGCTAGTACCAAAGTCCGTCAGTTTGCTGACGATATTTCTGTCTACTAATCCGGAAGGGATCCACAGAAGCTCACTGCAGACTTGGCTAGAGACGTTCTGTCAATCCGCAACTTCCTCCGGGACCACGGCCTTAAACTCAACGCGGAAAAGACACAGTTCATCATAATTCCGCCCAAAGTCCAAGGCGGTCCCAGGAAATCTCCAATTGTCAATTGACAGCACTAGCATACCTCCTTCAGCCACAATACCTCGGCCTCCTGTTCGACGAGCATCTTACGTACCGAGATCACATCAAGCTCCTGGAACGCAAGATAGGCGCTAAACTTGCTGTCTTCCGGAAAATCAAACACAATCTAACACCTGCTGCCAAACGAGTCTTCTACTGTTCCTTCATTCAGGCTCAACTTGAATACGGCTCTAATGCATTTGCGCACAGCCTCCAAGTCTCACAAATGGACCGCATTACTCGTATATCTAACCGTGCTGTTCGGATTGTCTTTGGCTACCCGAAGTACTACGATGCTTCTCTTGTTCTAGCTAGGAACTATTTCGCTGCTATTTCCCTTAGATATCAATTTCGCCTGTTTGTACTGGTGTTTCGATCCCTCCATAAGTTATGCAGTCCACTGCTCTCGACCTGCTTCCTCCCTCGCACTGCCACTTCACAAACCTCAGCCCATACACGCTCTCAGTCCACTTTGTCACTTAGTCTTCCTTTAGTTTCTCTCCGCTATGGTTTATACTTGCTAAGCTTTCTTGGTTCTGATCGTTGGAACGCGCTTCCTGCTTATATTCGCACAATCCCCTTGCTCAGAAACTTCCGTTCATCTATTCAACAATTCATAGGGTACTCTGTAAAAAGGCCCTAGGCCTGTGGGACTGCCCTATTCAAAATTTAATACTAATAATACTAATAATACTTGTAAGAAAGGGTTTGCTCCCCACACCGGAGCTCGCGCTATTCCGCCGACTTTACTTGACACTTGACTGACTCACGACTGCCATCCAGAGCACACGACTGCCATCCAGAGCCTACTCAAGCTCAACTGATGAGGGGTGAATTCCCCGAAACACTGTGTATTGAGCAGGGAGTGGTGCTTTCTTGCAGGTTTGCCGAGTCGAAGGTTCGATGGACTTCTCGTGTGCTCTGGATGGCAGTCGTGAGTCAGTCAAGTGTCAAGTAAAGTCGGCGGAGTAGCGCGAGCTCCGGTGTGGGGAGCAAACTCTTTCTTACAAGTCATCGTCGAAGTCGCAACCACTACTTCGTACTGTTGTGCCAGGCGCGGGCTTGCGACTAGTTGGTTTGGAGGTGACAGCGTTGCGAATGACCGAGGGTCCTCGACGTCTGTCTCACCGTCCAGGAGCGACACTGACTCACGCTGCTATCTGGTGTTCACGAGGTGTTTGTCGCGCTGGAAACGGAGCGTCTCTGTAAGTTTGTATCCCTGGTGATGTTTGTGCCTGAAGAGCACTATATAAGTGGTGCTCTTAAGGCACAATCTTCCTCAGCCTACTCAAGCTCAACTGATGAGGGGTGAATTCCCCGAAACACTGTGTATTGAGCAGGGAGTGGTGCTTTCTTGCAGGTTTGCCGAGTCGAAGGTTCGATGGACTTCTCGTGTGCTCTGGATGGCAGTCGTGAGTCAGTCAAGTGTCAAGTAAAGTCGGCGGAATAGCGTGAGCTCCGGTGTGGGGAGCAAACCCTTTCTTACAAGTCATCGCCGAAGTCGCAACCACGACTTCGTACTGTTGTGGCCAGCGCGGGCTTGCGACTAGTTGGCTTGGAGGTGACAGCGTTGCGAATGACCGAGGGTCCTCGACGTCTGTTTCACCGTCCAGGAGCGACACTGACTCACGCTGCTATCTGGTGTTCACGAGGTGTTTGTCGCGCTGGAAACGGAGCGTCTCTGTAAGTTTGTATAAAGAAGTACTTGGCATGGAGGTTTTCTACATCTGACAGTTTCAGTTTGTCTATGTTCCGGGAGAACTCTTTGTCAACAGCATACGCCTTACTTACAGTCTCTGATACCTCTGCATTCAGTTCCACCGCATACTCTATGGCTGTGAGGTGTGGACCTTGATCTTGATGACTGTCAAGGGCGTTCAAATCACGTCGACGGGACAGTGGGTCCGCGACGTTGTCCTTGCCTGGCTTGTGGTTAATCGTGAAGTGGTAGTCCACCAAGAACTCGATCCATCTGGCTTCTCGCTTGCTAAAGTGACGCTTGGTTCTCAGATAAGTAACAGCCATGTTGTCAGTATAGATATCAAAGTGCTGAAACAGGTAGATACGCCACGTAGTCAATGCAACCACAACAGCTAGTAAGGTCTCCCTTTCGGAAGCCGTGTAATGTTTCTCTGCTTGGGATAGCTTTCGACTCGCGTAAGCCACAGGGTGCCAGTCACCACTGTCCTGCTGGAGGAGCACACCGGCTATTGCGAACTCAATAGCATCTGTGATTCCTCTGCACGGTTTCGAAGAATCAGCCAGTCTCAAAACAGGAGAATTTAGTACGGCGGTTTTCAAGATATTCAAATGCCATCTGCCTGGAATGGTTCCAATCAAAATGTGCATTCTTTCCTGTTACCTCATCAAGGGGTTTGGCAATGGACGAAACATGATTAATAAATCTTCGGAAAGAATTAGCAAAGCCCAGAAACTACCTAACTTCCTTGACAGATGATGGCACTGGCCAGTCTTCAACAGCTGCGATCTTGTTCATATCAGGAGAGATTGACATGCCAGTGATTCGATGGCCTAAGAACAATACTTCTTGCTGTGCAAACTCACATTTGGACGGTTTGCGGTACACCTGATTCGCTTTCATAGTCTCCAGAACAGTGGCAACATGCTTCATATGCTCACTCGAACTCAAGGACTTGCTAAAGATTAGAATATCGTCGAGGAATACAACTACGAAGTCTCGCAAATACGATTGAAGAATTGAGTTCATATTAAAGGGATTGAAACGTTGCTGGAGCGTTCGTCAGCCCAAACCCCATCACACGGAATTGATAATGGCCAAAGGGTGTATTTATATCAGTCCTGGGAATATCTGGCTGGCTGATTCGAATTTGATTGTACCCTGAGCGGAGATCAAGTTTCGAGAAGTACTTAGCACCCTGTATGGTATCAAACAGATCATCTATATTGGGGAGACATGCCTTGTTTTTCACAGTTATTTTATTGAGGTCCCGCCAGTCACACACCATACATAGCGAGCCGTCTGCCTTCCGTACAAAGAATACCGGGGCCCCATAGGGGGACTTACTTGGCTCAATAAATCACTTGCGTAGCAGCTCAGACAATAGAGAGGTTTCGACCCGCGTGATTTGTGCTCTTACGTGAACGTCAATTTTTTGCGTCGACGCGAGCTCAGAAAGAGCTTTCGTTTCACGTTGCTTGTGAAGCACGTCGTTTCGCTGACGACAGGAGCGAAAACTGGGGGCGAAAACTTCAAAAAGTGAAAAAAGTGATTTTTGGTGAGGCCAAAGTCGCACAAATATTATTTATAGCTAGTTTAGGCAAAATCGACAAATCGAGTCAATAATCCCAACCTGATAGCAAGGCTAAATTTGCAAAAACTCGCGTCACGTCGAACGTGAGTTGACCTCAGCTCACGTCATGAACGGGAGTTTCGACGCCAAAATTTGCCACACCGACGTGAAATTTCACGGTGTAGTGCAGAACAACGTGAAGCGAAACCTCTCTAATTTAGCATGGAGTTCCTCCATCTCTGACTTTGAGACGGTTGTATTGTCCAGGATAACTCTGCCTTCATCAACAATCAGAAGCCCTCTAAATACCAGTTCAGCAATACAGATGCTAATGCATATAGCGTAAAGTATGATGATGATGATAGACCGATCCCCTTATTATTGTCTGGGTTCGAGCAAGGGGGCAACTCCGCAGTCGCGTGGGATCCTGCTGCACACACGCGACCAACCTCACCTCGGCTGTGCATGACTTCTCGCATGCGAAGTGCAGAGCACGCGAAATCTACACGCAGTGCAAGCCTGTATGCCACAAGGACTTTTGATTTGAGCTGTTTTGTTTTTGTTTAGATCTTCCTTTTTACGACTTCAGGATGCCTTCTCAGGATCATTGCTGCGTTCCTCACTGTCAGAACAGGAGGACGAAGCAAACAAGTCATGTCACTCCTTTCCTCGTGTGGAGCCACAGCGGCCTGGAGCAAGCGGATCCAGGCTATTCCCCGTGAGGAAGGACGTAGTTTTAGGGTCACTCTGAATATTTGAGTTGCAGCGATCATTTCGATCCCGAAGTCGAAATCGTTTTGCCCAGCTCTACAAGGGCAGGATGAGTCCAGGAAACCAAACAGCTGTCCTACGGTACCAGGTTTGCTTTTCGCAAGAGAGTGGAGTCTGGACGCTCTGCTCCCCATGCTCGCAAACAGTATTTGCTGAGCCTAGTGCAGTTCGGTCATGGAAGTGCAGCGTCTGCATCACGAGCTCCCCATGCTCGCAAACCAGTATTTTGCTGAGAGGCAACGGCATTTTGAGTTGGAAAGGAACCTGGCTTAGTGCAGTTTGGTCCTGTAATGGAAGTGCAGCATCTGTATCAGGAGTTGGCAGCAAGTAGAGCTCGTGTACAGAGTCTCGTGGAGCAGTTGGACGATGGGGTGAAGAAAGCCGAAAAACAGCTTACGTACAATAACATAAAGAAAGACTCTGAGCCGCTCCAGTTTCTGACTGGTTTGCCTTCAGGTGTTTGGACCGCTCTGTGGGACTTCTTTGAGCCTAGCCGAGAAAATGTACTGCACCGAGCCAGATCTGCGAAGACGGAAGCTGAGGGACGGCGGATACAGGTGGAGGTGGCCGTAAATCGCCAATGAGCATGTAATGGAGGATCAGCTGCTATTGGCATTGATGTGTCTAAGCCTGGGCCGAATGGAACAGAAGCTGTCATGCGTGGCACAAGTTAATCATCCATTTCACGGCATATAGCTAGCTGAGCTGGAAAGATGTCTTGTTCCTCCGTTTGGGCATGATCCCCATTTGGGCGAGCTAGCGAGATGTTCAGTCATCAATGCCATGTACCGCAAGACATTCTGCATTGTGGATGAAACAGTTCTATTTTGCCATGCACTTAGGGTTCTCGCACCGGCTTAACAAGACCCAACAGATCCTTGCGCTCTTATTTTCTCCCATGGTAACATTGCTGATCACAACACCCCGTAGCCAGTCGCAGATGCAACCAAATCAACCAGGTTCTCTTACTCTTTTTTTTCCCAATACTGAAACCAAAGGTATACCAATATTTGCATCGAATGCAGTGATGATTTCAATACTGTCCACTAGTACAACGCATTACCAGACTGGCATATAATCATGATAATATTATCCATTTCGCAATCACTGTCATTGCTTTCTTAGATCTTCAATCATCAATATCGGACCAAAAACTGTCTATCTTTACTTATAAAGAAGAGGCACCTGTGACGTGTGTGTGTGTGTGTGTGTGTGTGTGTGTGTGTGTCACGCTCAGGCCATACTGCGGAGCAGCGCTGCCCTGAGCACGCGAAGCGTACGAACAGTGTAGCACAGTGTACCTAGCGGCCGCAGAAGCACTGAGCACGCGAAGCGTGCGAATCGTGTAGCTAGCGGAAGCAGCCACAGAAGCACTGAGCACGCGAAGCGTGCGAATCGTGTAGCCACCACCACGTGCTGAGCGCGTGCGAACAGTGTAGGTAGCAAACACGATCAGTACGAGTAGCAGTAGCAGCCGCGCGCAGAAGCACTGAGCACGCGAAGCGTGCGAATCATGTAGCCACCTAGCCTAGGCCATAGGCAGCACTAGCAGCCGCACAAGCTATGCGGACCACGTGAACCGTTCTCTGCAAATAGAAACATCTGCAACAAAAGGATACAAAAGATCTGCACTGACTGCACTCTGCATCTGATCTGCAGTGAAGAGCGCATCGCACTTTTGTTCGTAAGTTTATGAATTTTTTGAGCCACTTCATCCACCACCAGGTGATGGACAACCCTGACCAGCCTCCCGAAGGCGTAACAGACGTCCCTCCTTCTCCTTCCAACAATGAAGAACCTCCCTCACCAGGACTTCAGCGGTCTGGCCACCACCACGTGCTGAGCACGTGTGCTGTTCATGTACTTGCTTCACCCGCATGTCACATTCGGCCAGGCAACGCTGGCCGGGGGTGCTGCTAGTCATCTTATATTATATCATCATTAGTATCCTGCTACTATCCTCCTCTAACGATGAGCTCGAAGAAAAGAAACAGCGGTCTAGAGGCGTAAACAATAACTGTCAACGGAAGTGTCCTTGCTGTGCTGGTGTGTTTATGCTTTATGCATTAGTTCGGCCAAGAGCGCATGGTGGTGGCGGGTTGCCGGTAGAGGATGTTAAATATACTAGACAATAGTTCACTCTGAACATGCAGGGGGGTATATTCATAGGTTCGAAAGAACCGCACACACACTTTGCTGCAGACAGCGGCAAGCTTTGGCCCTCGTGCTTCGAAGAGGGAGCAATCCACTGCGCTACGCTTGCGATTAACAGCAAGCTTCGACTTTTCAAAGGTACGACTCATCATTGGCTCTGGGGTAATGTTCCTGGAACAAATGCCCCATTGCCAACTGAGGGCCAGGGAGCACGCAATCTGCCTTCCTGGGCGAGAAGTGTTACAGCACAAGAAGCAGCACGAATACATGCTGACAAAGACCACCATCACCACCAGCCGGCACACAGTTCTTCAAACACCATCCACTCCGTCCATGTGTTTGCACTGTCCTCCTCTAGCTCTTCGCGCTCAACAAATACCACGCACTGCTCATCGGTTTTTTTATGCTTCCTCTGGGTTGGCTAGCCCTTCGACTTGACAAAACAGCGATCACCACTGCACTGCTATCGTCACCTCATAGCAGTCGCTTCCACCAGTGACTTTTCCTGTCCTTGCAAGGTGTCCAAGGATGGCTGCTGTTGTCACTACAGGCAAATCAGAAGTACTTTAGTGGATGTCCAACCAGATCGTTGGAAAATCGATTTTTCCGCTTCAGGGCTGCTGATCGCGACTTGGTGACTTGGCAGCACCACGGTTACCTTCATAGAAGATGGCTCTGGAGAGGAAAAGGCAGACCAGAAAAAGGTTACTATTATCTTCAGCACCGATCGCAAGGAGAAAGAAATATGGTCTGCTGTAGCCTAGGCACAAAATAAATCTCACACACGATTCGCGATTCGAATATTTCAACAACAAAAATACTCACCTCTGGAGTAACTCCTGTTTGTGGCCCAAGATCGTACCCTCCGCCGCCTTGAAAAAATCCTGCAGCGGCATCACAGTCCATGTCTCTCTTGGAGACTCTGCTCCTACCAGCAGCAGGTTTAGCACCGCTCGAAGCCATCGCAAACTACTTGAACTAAGCAGAAGACATTCCAAAACAAACCTGAAACACACTGTCAAAGATGCTGTCACGTTCAAAAACTAGCTCGATCGCGAGTGAGGTTGCCCCCGTGCTCGAACCCAGTATAATAAGGGGATCGGTCTATTATGTCAAGTGTCAAGTAGGAGCTAGATGTGTATAGCACACCTCTCCCACTCCCCCACTCAAACTCAACAATATGAACAATATGAACACCAACTCAAAATGGAAGCACACCATGCCGACTCAAAGAAAGTGTTCCCACGACAGCCGGCCTCCCACCCAATATACATGTGACCTGCCTGGTTCGCCACCAACCATCTCAGGTCAGAGTCAGACCTCTCCAGCACTCTCGTTATCGTCCGACGCGTCCGCTTCGGCACCACTACAGTAGCATTCTTCGACGTGTTGTGCGCATAGTGTACGGAACGCACTGCCTCTGGCCGTGCCGCTGGGTTGTCATCACACACACACACACACAGCGCACATTATCGATCAGTTGATTCTGTCTTTCGACCTGACCATTAGACTTGGCACGGTTCGGGCTGCC